CATTGTTAATTCTCTGAGTAGTGGAGAAGCAGATCTTGTGATAGACAGGTTTTGACAATCATAGCTGGGCTAAACCTCTTCAATGGTGGGATTTATCCTGTTACAAGTGTGCAGTGTTTGAAGCCAGCCCTGCTAGAAAAAGCTGTTCACTGCAGCTGAGCGAGTCAAATAGCATTTACTTGGAATAGTGTGTGGGTATCTTCAGACTCTGACCTGCTGTATTCATCACTTCATCTTTAAAAAAAACCAAACAAAACAGAACAAATCACATCCAAATGGGCAGAAATTCATCTTTTCTAAGAACAGATGCAAAACCATAAACTAAAATTATTCTTTATTCAGTGGCTACTAGACTTGGAGTCTGACAGTCCTAAACACATCCTGTTTGTTTTATGTCACTTCTCTGCCCCGTGTCACAAATAGCTGGGACACTTTTAGCACGAAGTGTAAGAAGGCAAAGCAGTTTGACAGCTGAGGTGGCTTTGTCACCTAAAGCTGGGCAGTTCTGCGGGGTTGTGAGAGTACAGACGGGCTGAGGCCCCTCTTTTGGGGCTGTAGGTGATGCATAAAGGCCCAAGTCAGCTCCCCAGCTCCAGCAGTGCTCAGCAGTGGGAGGGGATGGCAGACATGAGGACTGCACGCTCCTCCAGGCACTCTGGGAGTGTGGAATGCTGTTTGTTTTCTGGGAAAATTTGAGATTTTATATTTTTGAGATGATGTTTTATTTCGAGACTTTGTGACGTGTGAGAAAGCATCAGTTGGCACCAGTGAGCATCAGGGCTGTCCCTTCCATACACTTTCACTCCTGCCTCTTTTAATTCACTGGTGCTGCAACATGATTTCAAAGAACTCAGAATATATTTGTCCTACACAAGCGTAGTGAAATCAGAAACCTTTTTTTTTAATTAAAAAGATGAAGTTGTTTTGGCTGCAGTAAAATCTAAGAACAGTGTTTTACAATGAGGGAGAGATGTATGACATGCAGGACTTTTTGCAGTACACTGTTCTTACACAACTCATTAGAGGGCCTAAAAGCCCTTTATTTTCTGGGCTGAGCCTGATTGCTATGTTTCTCCTATATAATATTTTATAAATTCCCATAAAAGAAAGAAACACTAGACTAAATTAACGTTTTGAAGTACTAGGACTTTGCAAATGAGGAATAGGACTTTGATTACTGCCTAAAAATTGCAGTCTAAAATGTTATTTTACATGCTATCCTGAGTCAAGGCTTATTTTAAAAACAACCTTTTGACAGCAAAAGTAAATTCACGGGACTATCTGCATAAGGCTGGATACATTTTGTGATGATGGTTTAAATTACCATCATCTTTTCAGCACCTCCTGATGCCATGAAAGGAAGCTTTCTTCACTGCTTTTCAATGCAGTGAGTCTGGCATGCTGAAATATCAGCCACACTTCCTAGGAAGATTTTCCTGCAAAGCAGATACCTGTAAGTGTAACCAATATCTGAAAGTTTTGGGTCTGAATTCTGTCACCTACATGTTCTGTCTGTGCAAATTCTTCCATTGACACCAACATGGTTTTTTGCACAAAATAACTTTGTAAGCCACAGGATGAAATTCTCTGGGTTACTGCTCTGACTGTGTTTTGTGCTCCCTACTTGTGCTTCAAATAGGAAAGATAGTTAAAAATTCACACAAAAGAATAAACCTCATAACTTGCATTAACTTTTATTTCATTTTTGAAACTTTTTAACAACCTGGTGAATGACAGTGAGCAGGAGTCTTCCTTGCTCTTTGAAATCACAACTGAATGTGGTCCCTGGTTCAAGGAATTTTTACTGAGTTTTCATTACTTTTTTAATTACTCTGTTACTTCTCTGCTTGGCTGAAAGGAAAAAGCTGGTTCTAGTCAAAACACTGTAATTAAATGTACTGTGATGCAAACTCTTGCACAGTGGGAAGACCTGGCAAGTAGTGAGACACTTCACAGCTCAGTGTTTGCACTTGACTGTCTGCTTGTGTAACAGCTGTACCCAGGCACTGAACGAGCCCAGGCTCGGATACTGAATGTGCTGAAGCTTCTTTGAGCTTCTGACTTCACTTATGTTACTGTGCAGCCCAGCCTTTGTGCACGTCCTGCTTAGTGCCCAGCTTTCCATCAGGTACAGTAAAAACTCTACAAAACAGAAAACAAAACCCCTTTCACATGGTCAGAAGTGGAGTTAGTTGTGGGCTTGCTGGAGATTGTCCCTCTGGGATATTGAAAGCAAGGCAATTGCATCACTCACTGTTATCAGATGCTATTTAGAAATCTGGAAGCCTGAAAATGGAGGTTTGCACCTCATCTTTGGCCAGGGATGGATCATCCATAAGACACTTGTATATCATTATCACAAATAATTTTTTGTGCTACAGCAGTGTGTGGGGAGCACAAATTCCAGACCCAGTTAAACCACAGCTGCAACACCACCATCCTTTTGCTCTGAAAAATATCTAGGCAAAATGAACAAAACCAGCAGAAGACTGAAGAGAGGAACTGGAACTAGACTCAAATGAGAGCAGGTTGGTGAGAGCCAAGGCAGCTCATTGCCAGCCTGGATATCACCTCGAGGTTTGTTCTGCATCTGGTTCTGTGGAGTCTTGTTTGGGCAGAAGGAGCTAAGGCTTCCTTAGTGTTGTTCATCACTTTATTGTTTTCAATGAAAAATAGTTCATTTGCTCCTTTTGGCAGCATGCACACAGTAACCTGTTGCCAGCCTTGGTAGAGAACTGACACTGCATTTCCTTGTGTTTTGGATTCATCCCTTTGGATTTTCCCTCTGTGAGGCTGCTCTGTCTCTTTTCCCACCTTTCCCCCCAAGCTTCTGCACAGCATTGCAGCCATCTCTGGGGCTTCTGTTTGTGTTCCTGCTTTTCCCTGGCTCCAAACACCAATGCTGCTGTTCCAGCAAGGAAGCTACCCTGCTGAGAGTTTTCTCTTTGGCTTTCAGATACATCCCTTTTTCTTCTGTCCTTCTCAGTTCTCAGCCTGTTACCAGCATTGTCATCACCCAGTGCCTCTGCTGGAGCTGCTGGTGTCTGTGCAGCCTTAAGCCTGGTTTATCCAGTTTGTTAAACCAGTTTTGCAGCTGATTCATTTCACTTTAGAGGCCCAAAACTGCTGAGCATGGGGCAAATTGCTGCCAGCCGTGGGGAGGGGAGCATCCCTGCCAGCCAGGGGCTGGCTGCTCCCCCCTCCTGACACATCCAACAGCCCAGGAGAAATCACTTCTGCTGAAACTTTTGGTGAGGCAGAACGCAAGCTGGCCAAGACCTTGGGGTTAAAAGTCTTCTTTCTTTCTTTCTTTCTTTCTTTTAAAGTATCATGATGTAATCGCTTAAAAATAAATTTTAAGATTTTGGTTGTATTTCTTAAAAGAAAGATTGCCTTTCCAGCAGCTCAATTTCCCCAGCACCAAACTGGGAGTTAGTTCAACACAAACACAGGAGGAGAGTGTCATGTTCTGAAAAACTGTCTGCAGAACCTGCCTTTTCTTTTCTGGAGGGTTCTGGTGTTGGGTGCATTTTGTGCACGTACTGAACAAACTTCAGGAAACTTGTGTCTAAAGAAACTTTGAAAAACCCCAGTCTTAGATCACAGCCCTCTGTTGCAGGCTGCCTGGGAAGCAATGATCAGTCATTCTGGATGGCTCTTCAGGTGCCCACTTTGTAGGAGTATCTTTCTTGCTGCTAAGCTGGCTCTTGCACTTACAATAATGCACAATACGGTTCAGTGTCACTTCTGTTACCTTCAGGTTTTGGACAATTCCCACTCAGACCCTGCATTTCTGCTTGCTCTGGCTACTTCCAATTGCTCCAATTTATTTTACAGCTCACCTTCCTGCATCAGGAAGGCCACATTCCCTGCCTTTGATGAGCAGGTCCTCGCTAGGACAATTCCTCTGGCATGTCCCGCTCCTTCCAGCCCCTCTATGTCCTGCACTGTCTGTTCCTTTCCCAATAAATCACTGGTGCTCAGCAGCCTCTGCAGTTTTATCTCAGCCAAATCTGCCCACTGGGTTTTCAGGGAGGAGCTTTGCTTTTCTGTTTTGGTCTTTAAAAACTATTTACCTTCAGGGGCAGCAGAGTGTCAGTTAAAATAATAAAGGCACTAATTAATTGACAAGATGTTTTCACTCCAGTTTAATCTGCCAGAATTTAACTCTGCCTGGAGGCCATAAACTGTCTTCCCTTTCCTTTTGGTTTCCATACCTTTCAGCTTTAGCACTTGTAAGGCTTTACTTAATCTAGTGCTTATTGCTGAGGTAGTTTGAGAAGCCAGTGTGAAAACAGACACAAGTATCAAATGCATCTCTCACCTTCTTCAGGTTGTGTCTTTTTTTTTCCTGTTTGAAGGAGCATTTCTAAGCTGCCATATTGTACTGCTGACTGTTTCAAAGACTCTCCACTGAGGAGAAACTTAGAAGAGTATCACGGCACTAAAACATTTTCAGCAATGTTGTTAATCTTTCCACATCGTCTCTGGAAACTTTCTTGAATCATTGGCCTTAAATTAATATTAACTTGCTAGACTGGAAGCAATTCATTTTAGGATAATTTTGACATACAGCTATTATTAAGTTGTGTTTAAATGTTGTCTAATAATATATTCATCAAAGAAAACTCTTAGTAGACATCACAAACTCCCACATATCAGTTCCTGACTTCCTTCCACATATCCGTAATCTTTTTTCCTCCATCTCTCTTGCATTACCTGTAATTGCCTCTTGTATTGCCCCCAGTGCCAATCTTGTCTCTTCTCAGATGAGCATTCAAAATTTGCTGGTTTTGATATTTTGAATAGTTAGTGACTTTAACTGTTATTTTTAAGTAGTTGTTTGAAGACATGACCAGGTAATCTGAAGTGATGGGTAAAGTGATGCTTGAGAGTGTTTGTACATATGTAGAGAAATAATTATAATCAGGTGAATATTACAGCTCTTCTCCAGCAGTGTTTTAATGCATTACTGTGTCTTTCCCTTGCTGAATGTGTAGTGAGTGAGAAAAGTGGGATACCAGAAGCTCATGCAGCTGCACAACCCTGGGGGACACCTTATAAATTGGCTTCTGACCCCCAGCCAGCAAAGTGGGAATTGCCCAGTGTTCTTGGGACCACTGACCTGCAGCACCTGCCCGTGGCATCAGGAGAGTGCCAAAATCCCTACAAGGCCAATGGCAAAGAACTGCAGAGGTACTTTTTTAATTTTCAAACTATTCATTATGGTAATAATTATTGTCTGTACTAATAATAATAATTTGTATGTGGAAAAACAATCTGTGCAAGTGTTACCCATTTCTCACTAAACCCCACACAAATCTGCTGCTGTAGAGGAGGAGGTTTATTCACATTACGAGTGTTTAGCCTTCCAAAAGGTCACCTCTGCTTCAGGTAGGGGCCACAGGAATATTAAATGCAATGAAAGTGAAGTAAATGTAGTATATTGTATGGGATAAGCAAAGGCTGTAGTGTACACCATTAATGTAGTGTGGTTTTCATTAGCAAAATATCTAAAAGGGAATTGGAAAATAACATTTAACAACTATTGCCCTGAAATCAGTCATCAGTTTAATTAAATAAACATAAGCAGGAAGTTGAAAATGAGATCTGAAATCTTTAGTAAGGAGCACCATAACCGGTAAGATGCCACATCAGTGTTGGTAATTCATTAACGATACCGGGAGAGATCACATAAAAATGACAGTTTCTGTTTCAGAAAGAAGTCGACGAAATGTTGGAAAATGTGTGCTGCTGAAAGAGGGGGGATGTATCCCCCTGTGACAGCACAGTGACTTGAGAGGAAGCTTTTCCAGAGACCCAGATTAAAACTGAATCCCTGCTTGGGGCTGTGCCTCGGGCGCTCTATCCAAACCGCGGTCCCCCATACGCTTGTCCTGGTATGCTGAGCCCTGGATTTGGGAACCAGCCCTCCTCTGGCCCCTGGTCTGCTGTTCTTTGCCCCCAGGCAAGGCAGATGTCTCACCGACTGCATTCATGACAAGATCCAATAGGGAGAACAAACTCTCCCAAAAATTCAAATGAGTTTTTTTGGTTGTTAATTAGTGTCCCTAAGTAGGACATCCAGGTATCTCCAGGTGACAGGTACCCTTCACTCTGGCAGAGATGGGCTGTGAGCATTTTGGTTTCTGTTCACTGTGACACTGTCCCTCTGGCACAGTGAACCTTACAAGTGCTAATGAGAAAACTCATGCTCCTACTAAAAGGCATTTTTAGACTCTGAACTCTTCAGAGAGCAACACTTGCTGCTGACTTAGAGCTTAAACCACCAGCACGTTGAGGGCAGAAAATGCCCAGAAGGTGAAGCAATATTAGGAGCCTGAAGGGGAAAGGCAAAAAAAAAAAAAAAAAGGCAAGGAAAAGAGGAGATAAAAGACAGAATAACTGTAGGAAGCCATCTGACTGTGTACAGCATACAAAAATGCCAAAAATGCCAGGGGAAGTACCTGCAGTTTATAAATTTAAGTATCTCTTGCTTTTTAAAGAAGAGAAAAGCTTAGGGCTGAAGTAAAGTACATGTGAAAGTGAAACCTTATTTAGTTGGCATTGAGCTGTGTCCTGGTGCCCTACTCCTCCATCAGACTGTGAGTGGGATTTTGTGCCAGGAGCTCATTCAGTGCCTTGAACTATTCAGCCTGGGATGTCCTGGGAAAGGGGAAGATTATCACACTGTCCCCCAGATTGCAGAGCCAGTGCAGGATGGTGCCCAGCAGGACTGACTTCCAAACAGCTCACAGACACTTTGGGAGCAAATCCCCAGAGCTGAGAAATGCTTTTGTCCAGGCACGTTGTCCTTGCTCTCCTGGGACATGATCCCTAAAGGATCAGCGAGGAGGTTTGGGGGAGCGCTGGGAGATCTGCTAAACTGCATTAGCTGTAAAATCCCATAGACAGAGGGAAAGAGGTTTAATTTTGTGTGTGTTTCCCTCAGTTTAGCCAGTGCAGAACAGCAGGCTGTCCTGATTAACCCGTTTCCCCTGACACAAACCAAATGTCTTGCAGCTTGAGTAACTGTCTGTTGAGTCCCACGTTTATTATAAATTCAGTAGATGAAAAAATTATTTCAGTTTCTATGTTTTTTTACAGCATTTCCCACCAGAGAACGCTCACACTTGTAAAACAATAAATGCTATAGTATAACATAGCAAAACTAGTAAAATGCTCAACAGTAGATAAAATTATTTACAAAGGACCATTATGGTTTCTTTTGGAGAAATAATGCAGCATTTAATTTTAAGGTACATGTGCCAGGCATAACTTTTAGATGGTACAAAAAGGAACATAAATATAGAAGTGCACGTGTGCAGTAAGGTACATTCATGATCTTAATTACTTCTCTCACTAAAAATAATTTGCCTCTGAGTTTCATCTCATCTCTGCACCACCAGTTTCTGAAAAGCAAATTACTTTGCTAAGCAGTTCAAGGGAAAAACTTCAGCATCAAAACTCCTGTGTCCCACTTGGGCTGGTTTTAAAACAAGGTTTCATGGGAGGACTGGGTATGCAGAGGATCAGAGAGAAAGTTGTGTTGTTTTGGGGCAGTGAATGGATCAGGGACATTTCTTCAGTTAAACTAATTTGTTCCCTGACGAGGTTTTTTCCATTCTTGCTGTAATACTGAATTCCAGTGCAAATGTTGACTGCTGCTGTCACAGGATGGTGGTTGGAAGGGAAATACTTGGCACTGCCTCCTGTTACTCATTGTGCAGTCAAGTCAGAGCCAGCTTACAAGATGGGAAACTGCACATTAGCATAAAGAAATTTAGTCCTGGCAGCAAAAGATGCAAATCCATCACCTACCTGACCATTTCAGCCTCTTCTCCTTCTTGCTGGAATAATGAAGGCCAGTGGCTTTAATGGCAGAATGGTCACTGTGTTTCAAGGGGCACTTGAACTCCTCAACCAGCTTTTTCTATTGATGTTCCCCACAGATGAATTTCCACCTCTGGAAAAGCAAAAAACGGAGACCCAACACAGGAGGCTCTGCCACGTACAGAGTCCCCAGGGGTGGCCAGGCAGGTTTGTGTGTTTGCTGTTTGCTGCTGGGGAGCAGTTGTTTTCTCCACTGTGATCCCTAAGTAAAGATTGTTCGAGGGACTTTCAGCCATACTAGAAAATCATTCCCCTAAAATTTAAAATTGGGAGGGGAATAAAGTGACTCAGTAAGAGCTGCAGAACTCAGAACTTTTTTTTTTTTCTTTTCCCCAAAGGGAACTCTACCCTTTTTTATATACTTTGATTTTCTATAACTGCTAGAACCACTTTGGCAAAAAGTTCAGTATTTGACAGTTTTTATTTAGATGTTGACATGTGTTTTTTATATTCTTAAGTTTAGGGAAATGGTGAATTCCTTCTTTTGGATTTTTTCAAATGTTTAAGTTGTAACTGTTGGAATCTGCTGGGTGTTTAAAATGGATCTGAGAAAGGAAGTAAGGCATTAGTTTTATTGGGAAAAAAAGAAAAAGTATTTTGAAAGTTTCTTTAAACCAATGTTTTTCTGACATAATATAGAAGAATGTAGCTATATTGATTATAGTGTTTGAAACTGTCTAATATAAATGGCAATTCAGCAATAATTGCTGCAGTGAAATATTTTGTATTTATTGTATAATAAATGTTTCATAGAAATAGCATAAAATATTTAGAGAAAATAAAATAGGATTAGAGGGAATCTATTGCATGGCTAAAGGTTTTATGTGGTGCTAATAGTATTTAAAAAAAAATTTGTATTAAATAGACTGTACTGCATTTGTATTTGCCATAGACTGTGAACAAAATGGATATTTCTAAAGACAGACTTTTATCATTGTCTGAGGAAACCTTTAGCTAGCACCAAATTCATATTCCCTCTTGCAGTTAATCAGAGTCTTAATTAAACAAAGCTGAGCTGGATAGGGAAGTCAGTGAGATAATTTTAGACCCTTAATCCGTGGATATAAAATCCTTAATCCACGGATATAAAATCATTTTCTAAAATTGGGAGTGAGCATGTTAACATGCTTTACGTGGAGGGGAACTGAGGCAGAGCAAGACTGCACATTGCTTGGGGCTGTGCTGAGGAAGGGAAGGCAGGGAGGTGCCCAGGACCCGGACACAGCCCGGGTGACTCCGGGTGCCTGTGCCAGCTCCGGCACCGCCGCTGGGACCGGCACTGCTGCCCTGCCCAGCCTGCAAACCTGCTGGAGCCTCTGTGCCAGCAGGCCAGCAGCAGCCTCTGAGCAACTTGTTTTAATTATGTGAGGAGCACGCTAGCTTTCCACAGTCGCCTTTTAATCTTTTTTATATTCCTGTTCACACTCTGTCACAGATCTGTGCTGCATTTAATTACTCCGGCTCAGCTCCGAGTGCAGGGGATGAACGCGGGGCTGGGAGGTGGCTCCTCGATGCTGTGCAGACCCCACGCAGCCTTCAGGCCTTCTTTACCTCAGCCTTAGACAAATACAAAGGTCTTTGGGTTGCTGGTCACAGAAGATCCTTGCAGATCTATATTTTTGAGACAGAGCTGTCGTTTACAGTAAATCAGAAGGATTTTCAGCCTGGCCCCACTTTGCCTGGGGGTGTCCAGTTGTTGGGGCCTCATCCAGTGAGATTCCAGGGCTCCAAGCCTTGAGCTGCACGACCCTTTTCCTGTCACTGCAGCCTGAGGTTTGTGAGTGGCAGTTGCTCCTGTCTGGGTCATGTGTGGGGCCCATCATGGTTTGGTTTCCCTAAAAAACAGGAGTCTCCAGCACATTCCTCTGCCCCTGCCCCAGAGGAGCCCTATCCACCTGGTACCAGCCTGGGGATACATGTCTGGATTACTGGAAATACTACAGACAGCATTGTGATAGGAGAGCTTCATGTGTCATCCAAAACCTCATGGGTTTGGATCTGTAAATAATCCTGGGGTCAGCAGAGGGAGCCCAAGGACACACAGTCTCGGTGTTGGGTTTTGGACCAGCTGAGTTTTCTGGGTGCTGAAGTGTTCCTGACATAAACTCTCTGCCTTTGAGTGTTGCAATAACTTATTTTGAAGCCCCCAAACTGTGCAGCGGCTGTGTGGGGCCACCTGGGTTGTGCTGGAAGGAGGAGAGCTGAGAGGGAGAGCTGTTACTAGTAGGAAACCCTTTGGGAGGGGACTTTTTCTTAATATTGTGAATAATGAGATCAGCACAGAAATCCAAGGTGTGCCCATACGATCCTCTGGTGACGCCAGTTTGGCCAAGAGTCTGGGTAGGAGACAGGATTGGACTTGGATAGAGAGAGGGGTTAAACAAAAGTCTGTGCAAAATGCTACTTTAGCTGGGATTTGCTGTGGGGTCTTCACATCAGGAAGATACTGATAATGGACATTATAAAGATTATTGGTATTCTTGTTGTCTAATTCCATTTCATTACTTCTGAATGATCAGATGTCGTTGCTCAGCCATAATGCCCATCTGATTTTTGAGGGGACAAAAGTTATGAGACAATCACTACTCTTCCTGGCACTTTTCAAAACCATTGAATTCGCTAGGAAAATTCTGGGAAATTGATAACAGTGGCAACTTTTTTGATCATTGAAATTCATGTTGATTTTCAAGCTCTTGTTGATTTTTTTTTTTTTAACTGCAAACGGAGCCCTGTGAGCCTGACCTCGAACAGAGATGGGCGTTTTCAGAGGCAGCAGAGAAGCAGGGTCCGGGCAGGACGTTTTCGTACCGTTATTCCAGAGCCGGAGCTCCCTCTTGTGAGAAAGAGAAATAGCAGAAAAGTCCAGGACTGTCAACGTGCAGGGAAGGTGGTGTTCAATAGGCAAGCGATTTCCAGTAGCTTTTCCTGTAAATCTGCACACACCTCCATCCACTGGGACAAGAAAACATGGGATTTGAAGCTACGGTCTTGCAAAATCTGGAAGTGGCACCGTAATTTGTAACAGGTCACCGTAACTGTGATCTGTCGCAGTTCTGATGCTTGATAAAAATACAGAAGTGTTTCTCAATGGAAATAATTCCCCTGTTCCCCCCTCCACCCCTCAGCCCAGTGACTTTTGTCTCTGGGCAAAAAGAGCCTGGCTTTGTCAGCTAATAAAAAGCAGAAAATAGAGGAATCTGTCAGAAGTGATAAATACTGTTTGCATTTTTGTGCTTGCTGTGCTCAGTGTCAGCCGTGATGAATTGGTGACTCTTCTGCCATCCTCAGCAAGGAGCACCAGAGCTGGGCTTTCTCATGTCTGTGCCAAGACCATCTCCCTTTGGCAAGGGGGGTCTCCAGCCATGCACTGGGTGCTCAGGGTGTAATGGGATACGTTATCCCCTCGCCAGACACGTGGAGATGACTTCAGGTGTATTTTAGCTTGGGAACATTTATGGAAAATACTTGGTATTTTGTGAGATCTGGTGCACTTCAAAAGGAAAAAAAATGTGTTTCAGAAGTATTTTTATGAGCCCTGGGATTAAGTTCTTTCTGGCCAGTGTGGCTTAGTGGCAGCCGAAGGGGTGACTGTCACCAGCAGCAGCACTGCCCTGACCCTGTGCGAGTTCAGCTGTGGGGCTGTGGCAGGGCCTGGGCATTTGGGGGTCCTCCACCCTACTGGGGTCAGACCCTGTCCAGTGCCTGCTGCCAAGCACGAGCTGCTCCTTGCAGAGAGGAAACAAGTGTCTCGGGAGTCTTGTTGCTGGGTTTATTTTGCTGTTGGTAAATAACCAGAGCTCCCAGGTTTGCCATCGGTGCAGCTGCCATGGCAGTAACACCAAAGGCAGAGTATCTGGGTTGCTTCCCCCCAGCCCATCCCCACCAGGACCTGTCACCTCTGCCCCTTTTTCACCTGAGAAAGGACAACTCTTGCATCTTGTTGACCACCCCCCAAAACCAGGGTGCACCCAGGTGGTGGTGGCATCTCCAGGGACTGACACTTTCTGGATGTAGTTTATTAAATCAACCTCTCTCCCCTCTGCGTGGCAAGAGTTAATTGTGCTGGTATAAGAATATTATTCCAAGGGATTATTATTTAAAAAAAAAAAAAGGCGTTTTTCTTACAGCAGGGAACGTGTCCAATAATTGATGTGGGAATATTAATGCAATATGTATGTTATCAATTTAGAAAAGCAGAAGACATATTTCCTTAAGCTTCTAATCATTTGTACATATGACCTTCATTTATATAGCAGAAGGGCTCTTCCAGAGAGCTACAATTTGCTTCAGATGTTTAGCTTGGGTATTTTGCTTTACCTTCCAACTGCCAAGTTTGGGATTATTTAGCAGTAAAATTAGAAATGTGGATTTGAGTATGTACCAAAGTCCTGACAGGTGTTAATGGAACTCAAGTTGAATATTTTATTCTTTAAATAGTAAAATGTAAACCTGCATTTGTTTAGCTTTGCCTTCCTGCCAGCTATATCAGGTATCTCGTGTGACTAGAATCACTGTTTTCTGTTCATGGTCTTCATGGCAGTTTCCAGTGCCTGTTCCCAGCTCAGCCTGTATTTATAATCCTAACAGATTTCAGCTCCACAGAGAATTCCTTAGGCAAATGTGTGGTTCTCAACTGAAAGAGATAGGAGAGAAAACTCATTATGCAATATAGCCCAGATTTGCAGAATGTGCCTGAAGATGCAAATAGGCACCTAAGAGGATTTCTCAGAAGGAAATGAAACCCTGGAGATGAAATTAAAGCAATTTAAGGCAGTTGTGAAAAAACAAACAAACAAAACCCACTTAATGCCCTTTTTCATTTTTGTGTGTTCAGACACCTTTAAAAATCTCTCTCTCAGCCCATTGCAATTCAGCAGTTTGGGTTATATTCAGGGCAAACGGTTCAGAGGGATTTCTTTGGTACCAGGTTTGCTCAGGTTGCTGGGGGAGGTCATGCCCTGTTTCAGAAAAGAGCCCTGGCTGTTTAGGAAGGGATGTAAGACACTGGCACAGCACAGGCTCAGCCTTCCTTGTCCCAGGAGATGTCCTGGGAGGGATTTACGTTGTCTGAATTTTGATGTCCATTTGTGCCTCCTCAATTCCATCCTGGGACATGCTGCCTCCTCCTTCGGAGGCATCTTTCCCTTCCCAGTGCCAGAGAGGAAGCTGACAACTCATGGACACCTGGAATAGGGTGAAAGGAAGCCTTTCCTTAGTTATTGAAGAGGAAGACCCAGAATCTGCTGTCTGAACACGCTGAGCTCAGATGCTGGGAGGAGAAGAGCTGCTCTGGGACTCTCTTGTTGCCATTGCCCCGGGGAGGGGGGGATTTCCTTCCAGAATGAAGGAAACCTTAAAGCATGGAAAAACAGGTCTAATCCTACAATAAACCATTTAATGCACTCCCTTCCTAGCCTAGTCCCTGGCCAGTGTCTCCACGTGCCCTCCCATGTCTCTGTATCATCCAGCAGCTCATTCTAGCCCAGTGCCTGCCACATGGGCTCACTTTGGGGGTTCAGAGTCACAGCCTCTCAGAAAGGAGGGTGAAACTCTTTGGAAAAATCAAAAAGGCCGAAACTTGCTAAAGTTTTGAAAACTAACACCATACTTTTCTTGGTGTTTTTAATTAATTGAGGAGAACTTCTATATAACACAGGTCCAGAAATGCATTTTTAAAATTGAGTCACTTGGTTTTGAATGAGAGTTACTGGCTCTGGCCAGAAAATCTGTGTTTGCACAGAAGAATTATTTCATTTTCTTCTGGCTTCACCACCACTACAAAAATCTTTTTTGCCAAAGGAATGGGCAAATTTCATCTCAGTAGGAATCCAGTAGAAAGCTCAGTCTTGTAAGGGCTGTGGCTAGACTGGGACTTTCTATAGTTGAGATGATTTAAAGAAAAATGTCTGTCATGGCTTGACAGGTTTTGCAGCTCTGAGAGGCTGACAGACACATGGCCTTGCAAGGCTTTGACAGTCTAGATGGCTACAGCTCTCCTGCTGACTCTGGGCTGTGGACTTCCAAATCACTTTGGGATTTTGCAGTTTGCTTTGAAATTTAAGCAGAGGGGAGCTTTTAGCGTAACTCTGCAGATCTCAGAAGGGCTTATCTCAGGAGGGAATATTCCAATGGTTTTGTGCTGTCAATGAATTAAATGATACAGGCTGGCTATTTGTTCATCTTCTGTTGCACTGATCTAATTTTAATACAAATACATTACTGGAGAGCTGAACTAAAATCGTGTACCTTTTAATAAGATCATAACAAACCCCATTGAAATATTTGACTCTTATGCAATTTAAATTCAATTTACAGTCACTGTTTATTTTCACATACTTGGTGGTTGTTTTAAGCACTGGGGTTCTTTTGCACTGCTTGCGTAACAGCTATTGCAGTATCCAACCGGTGCTCTTGATGTGCTCTGGAATTTGGTTTTTTGGGCTTCACCATTTGGAAAACGTATCCAGTTGAAAGGACAATCTCAGGAGCAGGGAAGCCTTTCCACGAGCAGCAGCTGTTCCTGCTGTTTGGTGTGAACATAAGTAGAAAGTACGATCTGAGAACGTACTCACCGCCTGTATTCCTTCCGTGGGAGCACATCCCATCCCTGCCACAGGCTACAGCCATTCCTGCAGCACACCTGAGCCTCTGGGCTTGCACATTCCTGGGCCGTGGTGCCACATCGGAATGAGGTCATTAAAAGTGTTGTCCACATGCTGGACTCGATGGTCTTGGTGGTCTTTCCCAGCCTAAACGATTCTGTGACTGTGTGCACATCTCAGCTCACCTGCAAAGGCACCTCTGATGGTCACTTCTGTAGCTTGTGAGGTGCTGCAGCACTGAACAGGAACAGAACAAGCATTTTGGGTTTCCATTAAATGAAAAGCTCGGGCTTGATCACATTAAAAGCTCCGAAGTCCTGCTGAATGTTTGGCTCACAGCCCGGCTGGTGGAGAGCCCAAAGAATGGCCTTAGTGCTTCACTGTCAACTTCAAATTCATTTTCTCTCTCCCAGCTTGATCAGCCACTGAAGGTCATCTTATTTCAGTCGTCCCTAAAGCGTCCTGCGTGCACACAGAGTACATACACGGGGTAAATGGGGTTTTCAGTCACTGGGGAAATGATTTGTAGCTATTTATAAAGTAGTGTTGTAATTTATTAGTTGAATTCTGTTGCTTAGATTGAAAAAGTATCTGACAGTCAACTGGAACCAGCAGTTCCATTTTAATTCCACAGGGTAATAATTTTCTACATTACATATAAAGCCTTACCCCAGTTATTATAAGTATTAGTTGATGGGGTTTTTACAGCACCACAACGAGAAACTTGCCAAGCAATAAATTCCATTGAAAGGTTTCTTTGTGTCTTTAGGAAAAGCTTACATGAGATACTTCCCTACTTACATGTAATAAAAGGCAATAATGAAGTACACAGCACACAAGTAACCATTAACTTGGGCTATTGTGTATTTTAATGGTTTTATTATGGATAACTTTCCAAACCATACAGACTCAAACGAGTGCCTTTGCATTTCTCTGAATCTATCCTTTTAATTTACAGAAAACCTGATTCACACAGATTGTGGAATTAAATCATCACTCCAGCTGCTACGCTTTAAGTTTCCCAAACCTTTGTGAATCATTGTGTGGTTTTGAACAGCCTGGTTGTTGTGACATAAATATTTTTGTAATTGATCAAATATGTTTAGGTTTGGTTGGTTTATATTTTTAACAAAAAAAAAAAATGTCATTTTTAGAAGAATTTATTTAATTTTTAGGAAATTGAATTAATCTTGTTTTTAAGACACGATTTCCTTTTTGTGTTTCCAACTAACTGAAGCACAGGAATTATTTTGATTTTTGTCTCAGACATTACAGCGTTGTTGGGCTTTGGATATGTTTTCTCTAAGTCTTCCTTCAAAAGCTCTAGAGTTTTTCCTGCTTGGCAGTTGTTAAGCTACCTGCCTGCTCCTTGTTTAATGTTCTAGGAATGAGTTCTGCCCACTTATGTTTGAGACCGAAAAAACCCCAAACTCTGATGCATCAGAATAAACAAACAACAGGACAGAAAGCCAAATGTGGCAGTGATCAGAAGCAAAGCCACGTGTGTTGGCTTAAGGCACAATTTGGAGCCTTTAATGGATTTTAATTCTGGGAGAGGAGCGATGAGTCAGTGCTGCCAGGGGCTGCTGGGGCAGCCACAATTAACGGGTTTGCAGCTGGGCCTGGGTGTCCTTGAGAGCCAGAGATCTTGAGGAACCCTGTATGGAAGAGGGGGGGTCACATAACCCCATGAACCTTGTTCTGTAGTGACTAACTGTAAAACTTCCTGGATGTCTGAGTTTCATTCAGAGTTCTTGAGGACAGAAAGCTAAATTGGATACAGAGGCCCCTTCACGTGCACTGACAAGGTGCAACCAGGCCCTGGAGAAACAAGTGCATCCATGTCGGCTTTGTGGTCAGCCTGGATCAGCCTCAGTGCAGGGCTGCTGTGCTGGAACAGCATCCAGGGGTTTCCCCACGTTTGCAGAGGCTGCAGGAGCGACGCAGTGGCACTGGGGATGGGGATGGTCCTGCAGGAGCAGATCCTGGGCTGCAGAGTTCTGGGACTGGGACACAGGTGTCATGTTGGACCCGAGCTGTTTCCCATTTCTGGAGGGATGAAAAAAGGGAACTCCCACCCTCAGTCACTGACTGGTTTCAACCCAGTTTGGCTTTTCAGTGGTGCCCTGTGGCAGCCTGGGTAACTCTGGGCTGTAAATGAACAGGCACGGATCGATGCTCAGTCTGCACATCCCTTATTAGCCCCAACTTGCAGGGGTTTGGAAATGGGAACAATTGTTTACATTTTTAGTTAGTTTTTCCTTACTGTTCTCACAGAGCCCCCATGGGACACTTTCAGAAGCTCAGGTCTAACGTGCCTGCTCGGCACAGCTTGGGAGCCCCTGGAGGATGCCTGGAATCCCAGGAATCACCACTAAGCTGGGAAATGCAGCCACAGTGACAGGGAGCCAAACTGCTGCAGGTGACGCCTGTGCTGCTGGAAGCCCTTGGTTTTCATCATGTTCACTTGGACTTGCTTTAATGTCACAGTGACTGAAATGTCACTGCTTTGTTAAAATCACTCAGGCATTTAAATAATGTAATATCAGGATTTATCAGGGAGACAGACTGTGTTAAGGAACGACAGTACACTTGTTTCCAGTTTTTAATGCTTTCTTGTAAAACTGAAAATACAAAACCAGCCGAGCAAATGTAGATCTTTATATACATGAGGTCTGTGATTAAAAAAAGTCCTTTTAGTAAAAAAAAAAAAAGAAAAAAAGAGAAGAACTGACCAACAAGTTAAATGGAAACTGATTAAAGGGAACAACATTCTCAAATGGAAACATACTTTCCAAGATGAAAAAGCTCTTCTTTACAAGTTTATTATATAATTTACATTTACACTTTACTGAGAGAACTTACAAAACAAGCTGCTTAAAATGCTCCTCATTCCCTTAAAGCATGAATTTCAAAGTGCCACAGCAAAGGAACAGGTTTCCAATATTATCTTATACAGACTATTCATGTATAAAATGGTTTGGTAAATGTGAGGTGTTCATTTAAATGAGCACATACAAGGATACAGACTAAATAAAAGTACTTGAACAAACCCTTTGTTATTACATACACAGTTATAGGTATAATAAAGGAAACAAGGCCAGCACTGCTTTAGGTATCTGTGTAGATGGAAGGAATGTGATTCAAGCAGTGATCAAAGGCGCCGTTTTGGAAGAACCCATTTTCATCCGTTCCGCTGGAGACCATGTCTTCGGACACACACTGTGCTTCAGGGATTGTGTCATAGCCTGGAATGGGACAAGGGGGATGGACACAAGTTAGTGCCACAGTACAGGTGAGGAAGGCCTGGGATCACACAGGACAGCACAGCATTAATGACGAGACTGGGGTTTACCCTTAAAGCCTCACCCAGGAGATGCACACACGGACTGATCTCCAGGGTTTGTGTTCACAGCTGAAGTGCCCATCCTGTGGAGAGCCAGGCACTTGCCAGTGAAGGGCAAGGACCAGAGTGTGGCTCCCTGGGGACTGCACAGTCATCATCTGAATAGGGTGTCAAAACAATGAGTGGGCAGAGATCCTATGGAGTGTGCACCCACAGTGATGCACTCCTCTTGTTTTGTGATTTTCCTTTTTTAATAGCACTTGGGAAAAATGCTCCATGTGTCTCCCAGCTGCTCTTAAGACCCAGGAGAAATCCGGATCCTACATTTTGTGGCTCCCTACATAGTGCAAGTCTGAGGAAGAGTGGCTGGGGCAGGTCTGGCTCACAGAAGGAGTGGAAGGAGCTGAGCACCTCAGCCCACCAAAGCCCACTGGCTCCTCCCCGGGTTGGGCTGGCTGCTGCTTGCCAGGCTGACACTGGGGAGGGGGAGAATTTCTCTGTCCTCCTCCTTTTATAATACCAAACTTTCACAGCTGTGGAAAACCTCCTGTGCAAACCTCCTGAGCTGCACATCCCTGTGGGAAGGAGCAGGTTCTCTTGTCTTTCCCACCTGCCCACACCTGTGCAGGCACCACCAAGCCAGGGACAGATCCTGCATCTTACACACCCAGTCCTGGATACACAGAGACCTGTCAGCTTAATTATGGGTATTTTACCAGTAGGTACATTTTTATTATTTGCAATTATTTACATTTCTGCATTTTCCTATGACGTATGAATGTCCTGCTAGTTCTCCAGTCAGATTGTGCTGTCTGCAGAGATCTGGCACACAGTGAACGTCCAAAGGTTCTGGAGGATGAACTTGGCCTGTTGATCTGCCCCGTGCTGTGTCAGCCAAGCAGAGTGACCAGTATTTTGGTAAGTTTTGCAACTGTTTATGTTATGCTAATTTCTATTTGATGGGCCTGTATACAGGGTGGATACACAACCACAGATGGACAAAACCCAAGATAAGCATACACCCCAGAAATCATTATTAGATTGCAGATAGAGTAAACTATCCAACGTCCTGAACAGAAAATAAAAATTTATTGACTGTTAATGTGATTCATGGAACAGCTGTTTGCCAGTCACATTTGGCATTCCTGCGAGATGAGATCTCATTTAATATTAATGGTGCTATAAAAGCCTGAAAAAAATTAATGTGTAGCCTTGATGAATCTTGCAAACCTGAATGGTCCTATTTTACACGCTAAAAGATGAGATGAGATTTATATGTTTCATATATGTTTATGTTTCAGCCTTTTAAGTATTTGCATGCCTCAATAACCACTCTAAAAACAAAAATATTAAACAGAAACATTTCATGATAGTTTAGGCCCAGACAGAAAAATCAACTGTTGTTGAAGTTGGTGTCTTGCCACAGTATTATTCTTTGCTGCTACAATTTCTTTTGGAAAGTTTATTTAGTCTGTTCTTTAAATATTGCAGGCTGTCAATCTAAACTTGAAATTTGATGTTAACATGGAAAAAAAAAGCTATGTTTCAGCAACATCAAACTTATGAATAACACTAAAGAATTCAAAGTTGAAGCTGAAACATCATCTTAAATGTTTCCCTTGTGTTGGTTACTGATCACACACTTTCCAGAATGGAGCAGCAGACAAATGCGTGCACACTCCCTCTGAACAGAGACTCCTTTAATACAAAACAAACAGGAAAGTCAACTCTAATTTTGTGGTCTGACTCAGGCCCATTTCAAAAAGCATTTAAACATATGTTTCCAGTATTGTTCTTAACCGAGATGCCCTTTTGAGTACAGACATGGAGAAAACTTCCTTGGAGATACATCAGTAAAGACTGTGGCAAATGGTTGTGTTTCATGACAATACTCACTTTTTGTTTGATTTCAGTAATTCTGACCATTCTTAATTGTGGTTTTAAAAGTAGAAAAAGAAAAGGATATTAAAATATTGAAGCATTATAGTAATCTAGCCATTATAACTTTGACCTGATTATAAAAACCTGCCTGAGCACACCTGAGATGTGCAGTGAACAGCCCACACAATAAATGGGAGAAGTGCCTTGTTTGCCAAGCTCTCCTGAAGGTGTGTGTTGCCTATGACATCCATCAGAAGAAGACTTTGTCCATCAGTCAAATAGAGTAGGATTAAAATAAAAAAAAAAAACTGCTTTCCTTCTGGGATATTTACAGATGCAAATGAATTTCAAGTTTTTTATACAAACATATTTTTGTAATAACACTGACTATAAAAATGTCTTCTTTCCCCTTCCTGCTGAAAATATCATATGGATAATTCTTTACTGGTGGAATAAATTACCTGTTGAAGCTAAAGGTGCATTGAGTATGTGATAGCCATTCTGCCTCAGAGGGTTGAAGCAATGGGATTCCCCTGTGAGCACATCACTGGTGACAGACTGGTCCATTGTTCTGTAGCAGTCTCCATAGTGGAAACAGTTCTGTATGGAGTGAAAGCTGCCTTGGTAACCTGAAAGCAGATATTGCACACACATTTTAACCCTGCTGCAGTGGTACTGGCTCCATTTCTGTCACAGTATTCCATTACTGTTGGGGGAGGTTTAGTTCCTCACTTTTAACTGTGGAAAGATGATTGTGCTGCTCTGTAAAGTGTAATAACAGAAGAGCTGCATCAGACTCAGTCCCACAAGGTGCCGTGGACTGTGATCCCCATCAAGCAGAAATCTCAAGGATGTGCTTCATTTCAAGCAACAGATCAGCTGAACACAGTCAACAGCCCACTTGGTTCAAAGCAAAGTAAGTGCTCCACTGGATCAGATCCAGGATGCTCAGATCCTAAGGAACTGTCTCTGTAACGAGTTACTGTTAATTTAAATGCAATAATGCAATATTTAAATGCAATAATGCAATATTTAAATGAATAGCACAGCTTTGTTTTCAGTTGGTGAAGTCTTTTCCCATCCAGTGTGTGTTCTGCACTGCTGGAGACACACTGTTATCTGAAATACCTTTATGGGTACCTTAAACCTCTCTCAGATGCTCTTGATTCAAATGAAACCCTTTTCACTGAACACGGGGCACAGTCTGTGGGTAAAATTGAACCAGAGGTGCAGGACTGACTCCAGATGGATGTCAGGTGAAGACTGAGTTCAGCCAGAGGCTGTTCTGCTTCTGGAAGTGTTGAGACAGATCTGCCTTGGTCTTTCTGCTTTTGGGGCACGTTTGAACTTCTGTTCCCCACACACCCAACATTTCTGATATCCTGCTTTGTTTTAAAAGTGTTGCATTACCAAAACCCAGCAGTTTGGGTTTTGCCATCAGAAGCTGTGAATGAGTTTTAGACAACAAAAGAAGATATTTAACAGTAAAGGACAAATGAATTGCTGAGGCAAGAATTTTACAACTTACAAGTTGTGCCACATCTTAAAAAGAAATTCTTATTTGCTCCCATAAGGATGATCCCAGTGCATGCCACAAGATTCATACAAGCCATGGCCTGATTTAATTCTCTTCCTTCCTCCTGCCTCAATAACCCCTTCCTGATTCCAGGTGCATCACACACACTCGTATCAACTACCAGGCAAAACTCAGGGTCTGTTCACTCTGGTCATGCTTCTTAAGGTGTAATAAATAAGGCCAAGTGAGGCAATTCTTGAGTAGAAATGCAATGAACTCACTGAGTGGTGAAAGATTTGTATTTAAGTTTCACAGTTTAATATGTGCTTTGGCAGAATCTGCAAGGATTAGATGATTAATTTTTTGAGAGCGTGAGATCCCCCACAAAATACCTGAAATGTTGATTTCCATGATTGGTGAAGTACTGGTGGATGACTTTATTAGATAAAGACTCTACACACACTGTACCAAGGCTGGTCCTATTTGCTGCTATGTTGGACAAGGCCCAGAAATTTGGAAAGCTGAGTATTAAATGATGCATGTCCTTCCCTGGAATAAATAGACAGCCACCTCTGTTTACTGCCTGGAGAGTCTGGCTCAAAGAACCAAAGAGCTCTTATGAGAGGGAGCAAAGCCATTTTTGATGTGGGTTTAGGTACAGTGCTTTATTGATTGGCTTTGATAATTATCCTGACCTTTCTGTTTACAAGGCACAAACTCCTTGCTGTAAGCCTTCTAAAAATACATCTTTTCAAGATGAGCAGTGAAAAAAAAAAAAAGAGACACTTGGCTTCAGAGGAGGTACAACTGGTTGCAGAGAGCACTCAGATGTATTTCTAGAGGAAAAAAATGAACTTTTCCCAGAACATCTGCTATTGACATCACTCCTAGGGAAGGCATGATGTGTATTTTCTCTGTCCTATCCGATGAGGAGACCCGGTGTAGGAAAATGCCAGTGTTATTGCACTGCTGTGTTCACCAGGACTGGATTCCTGCTAAGTGCTTCCCAAAGAAAATACAGGGAAGTGCACCTTCCCTGCTCTAACATGCCTAGCAGGTGTGATAAATGCAGGAGGCAAACTCAAAAAAAACATGGAATGAGGAAGGTTGCAGCAGGAACAGGGGTCAGATAAAACAATCCACGACACTATGAATGGAACTTCTAACCCTTTGGGTTTGTGCCTTTAGTTGTGGTTCCTTTAGATTTCTTGAAATGCTTCACACAGAAAATGCTAATAATTAAGATATGATTCAAAACCCATAGCCAAAGGTTCAATTAACAACCACATATGGCTGATTAGAGTAAACTAAGCAGGGAGCATTTTTTATAAGTTCTTTAAAAAGACTCCCTCTGGGGGTTAAAATACAAAGTAAGCAAGAAGGCTGGGTCTGGTGCAGACATCCCTGCTCCTTCTAGGAGAGCAAATCTGGAGTACCAACTCGGCAGTAAGTGTTTCAGCAATATTTTTTTTGCCACATGGATTTCAGGTTTTCCTTCAGTTTTGATTTAAATCAAGAATTTTCTGAGGTTAATTTTCAAGTGAATAATTTACTAAATGCCCTGTCAGTTTAAAGGATCACTATTAAATGTTTTATGTACAGTAGATGTAGAAATATAACAGTTCATAAAGGAATAAACTGAGTTCCAAACATAACATTTAGTTAAAATTTTGCTCTGAAATAATTTGTGACAGAAAAGCTGCATTTAGCCACTTCACACAGTGCACTGGCTGCCTCTGCTTCTCTAAGGCACAGCCTAGAAAACTTCAAGCAGCTTTAAAAGGAATGATGTAATGAGCAAATAATTGGAATATGGCTATTAAATGCCATCTTGTTATGTCATGTCATTTACACGTATTTGCAAATAAATCTCAGCTTTTCAAATTCCATAAAATTTCTGACAAGAAATCATGTCAGGTATAAATAACTACAGGATTCCATTGCCTGCCAAATTCTTTCAGCATGTAATAATTTCCATGTGATCTTACTACATCTAGGTTTGAACGTATAAATAATGTCAGCTTATTCTTTCATTATCAATATTTCTGCTGCCAGCCTGACGAAACTTGCCATCCCCTAAAAACTCCACAGCCACAATGTTTATGTGCTTCTGTACAGATGCCTCGTTCTACACTAGGCTTATATGCTGTTCCTTTTTTTGGCAAAAGCTCAAAACTCCCAAATTATTACAGATTCCATTAGAAAAATGTGCTATTAATGAACTGAGATGCAAAAGAAAAAAACCAAGATGTAGAGTGAGTACAGCTAAGTACAGGTTACAGATAATTGGTTTCAAAGGCTGCTAATCAAAATTGATTTTGGAATGACCACTTCCATAATGAATTTATAATAATACTTCAACATTTGGCCAAAGTGGAAAATTATTGCTTTTTCAAAACCACATGACACAACACTTAGAAAGCAACAATTCATTCAAAAGGAAATGTGGTTTTCTTAAGGAATAAAGTCAATTTATTTAAGTGGTTCAAAACTTGTTCTGTCTATGCATTTGTTTCTGCCGTAGTAATGAGCTGCTAAACTTTCCTCTTGTGGCTTGTAGTTATTTAGCTCATTATAGCAACATAATCATATATCATTATATGCTATCATAAATCTGCCACTTTTCCCTTACAGAGTTAATCCTTTTAAATTGAATAATCTGTTGAGCATCAGGTTGAGTTAGTTTTTCCTTCAGCGCAAATCATTAAATATAATACACTTTAACTTCTCAGACTAAGCCTGTCCAACCAAGGAGCAAAAACACTCCTCAGAGAACGAGGGGCAGAGGGAACTGCTGGGATACCCAACCCCACCACAGCTGGGAGCTGCCCATGGCTTTGTGTTCAGGATCTGGGCTTCAGCTCCACCCAGAGCACGTGAGAGAAAGCCAAACCTCCTATTTTACTCACTTGGCAAATTGATCACATGTGATACTTCAGCAGCCAAAAATGACCTTATAGAAATGACAATACAGCTGTGAAACAAGTCCTGAAGAGCTGCTTATCTGCCTGGATAAACCTATCTGCTAGGTTATCCCTGCAGCCAGACAGATGTCCGGCACACTTCTTTATTGGGAATATTTACCACACTTAAGCAGCTCACCATCTGGATTGTATAACATGTTTCTTAAATATGCAAGCTCCTGTGACTGGAAGAATCTGTGATAATAACATCTCTTGCTAATTTATGCCTCAAAAATTACAGGAACATTAATTAGTTCCCTCAGCAGAACTCCAGAATAGGTATATAAGCTCCCAATTAAAAAGGCTGAGTAATTCAGAACAAAAAATGTTTTAAATTAAGCAGTGGGACAGCTGCTGAGCTGCTCCCATTCCTGTCCTCAAATCCCACAGGCACTCTACAGTTGTTCAGAGTGCATTTGCATATTACTATATAAAATAATACACATGATAAAACTTCCAAGTAGTAAATGGGAAAATATTTTTTCTTGGTCCAGTCTCATGTCTGGTGCTTCACTGTGAGTGGACTGAGCAGGACACTGCCAAGGTGGGCCTCAGCCCATGTCCTTTGGGACTATGTGGTTCTTGCAGGGTCACTCTCCAGGCTGGATGACCAGTCAGGAGAAGGGCATGGCCATCACCATCTCCTGCAAAACCTGAATAAATGCAATAAATCTGCTGTTGTGACAGTTTTCCCCTTGATGATGACATGTTGCAGCATGAACCTGCCTGAAAAATTTGATCTGTATGTACATCAATCCAGTTTAAAAACTGGAGTTCCCACTGAAATGCCGACAGTCCCTTAATAAGACAGTATTGGCCGAGCATGAAAAAGTGAAATAAATCCTTTCTCCCCAGGTAGGAATTAGAAAAGTTGAAAGAAGAAAAAAAGAAAAACAAAGAGGGAAGAGTTACCTTGAGCTCCCTGCTGTACTGACTGGTTTTGAAACGGAGCGTAAGGTGTATTTGGAATTCCAGAAAACTGCTGCCCATTTGGTGACTGGCTGTGGGACGATGGAGAGCCGTGTTTCTGCAGGAGGGACGGTGGAACTAACGCTTTCAGGGGGCTGACAAGTGGAGAGATTATGTTGGGAGCAAGCCTAGAAAAAGAAAATAAAGGAAAACTTCCTATATCACATCACAGTATGGGAAAAGGAATACTCCAATGGCATTATCTCCATAATGGTCACATTACAGGTACAAATTATATTGTAAAAAGAAGGAGAACAATGCGATGCTACTTCCAGGTATTCGCTAGGAGGGAAAGGGACTTAGAAAAGAAATTCTGTTCCTTTACACTGATTTCCTGTACCAGCCACAATGGCAGGCTCAAAATGACACCACTCCTCAGTAAGCAACTTAAACACAGCTCAGGTTGAATTTAAAATTTCATGAACTGAGATACACATCCAGAAAAGGAAGTGGAAGATGTAGGTAAAAAGAAAAGGCATTTCTTTGAGCAGCCCCAGAACCTTCAGATGCTGGAAAAATCCACCTCTCCAAGAGCCACCCTGTGGAAACTTCACAGCTACAGGTCCCAAGGCATAGAAATAAAACAACCTCTGCAGGTTATAATACGTGCCACCAAGCTGGAAAAAAGAATTACTGAGCACAAACCATTGCAGGCATATAAATAATCAACTAAAACAAAATTACATCTCTCGCTGGTGTCTTGCTCTGCCATTGCACAGGCCACTCAAACACCATCAACCATCATCTCACACGACTGCTTCTTGGAGCAGCTGGGATTGGCCTTGGGGAGGGAGTGAGGCTGTGCCTGACTTGGGGCTAAGCACTACACGGGAGTGTGCAAGAGGTAAGTAGAGGGGAACTGTGAATTAATGGTGACAACAGCTTAATCAAATTTACCATGAGAGGCAGAGGAACACTGCCAAAAGCTGTCACAGCAACAGCTTTTAAGGAGCTTAAATAAATCAACCAGTCCAAGCCCATCCGATGCTGAAATAATTCCATCTCCCGAAGCAGGAAAACAAGACATATAATATAAACCATGGAGAGTCTGAATATCCCCAAACTGAACTGAAGAATTAAATTAGGATTGTTAAATGAGTGAATGCAAGGATATTTTCGAGTCAAATATGTAACAACTGGAAAACAGGGGGTTTTGTGAGGAAGAAACCCCCGCTCCCAATAAGCACTGACCAGCAATATGTAAAATAAAGAAGAGTTAAGTCCATTTTAAGAGCCGACACGCAACTAAAAAGAATTATCTTATTTGGTCTCTGCTTTGGTAAAGGCCTGGGGCTCCAGAGGTGCCAAAAAGCGACCAGGGGGTGCAGGGGCCACCTGTGCCCTCCTCGGGGCAGAGACCAAACGCTGTCCGGAGCCGGGGCTGGCTCGCAGCGGATGCTCCGGGGGAAATGCCGAGTTCATCGCCGAGCAGCCGCCGGACGCCAAGGGCAGCTCCCGCGGCCGCAGCTTCTCCTCCAAGGTCTCGGCGGCGCAGCAGTTCAGCCCCAGCGAGCTGCGAGTCGGGTCCCGCGCAAAGGCTCTGCACTGCCGTCTGTGCTGAACTGCTGCTCCCCGGCAGGGCTGACACGATCCGCTGGCACCCACACACAGCCTTTGCTCCGGTCTCTTCCCGAGCGCCGGCACAGGAGCATCGGGAATCACAGCCCGGTCACCAGCCCCCTCCTACGGCGCACATGGAGACATTGTGCTCCACGCGCCAGGAATGCCGCGAGAAGCCTGGAAATGCTTCTATCTGAAAGGAGATTAAAAAGACTGCAGTTGTTTTCATTGGAAAGATAATAGCTAAGAGAGCTCATGATAGTGACATTTATACGGATAATGACCACACACACATTTGAAAGAGAAACAAAAGATGTACTAAAAACTCCAAGGCCGGGATGAGCCAGAAACCACTCTGAATAGGGGAGGGAAATGCTTCTGGGGAGAGTCCTCTGCAACTGCCTGTGTTGGGTTTCCTCTGCCTGCTCTTGAAATGTCTTGTCCTGGCTACTGCTGGGAAATGCAGCACCCCATGGAGACCTGCTGGGCTGCTCCGAGAGCTTTGCTGGGATGGGGGAGCCATTGTGGTTTTAAATTCTATGCAATCATGTTGCCTGTCGAACAAAAATGGTACACTTAGGTATCCAGCTGTGGGAATACTGAAAATCCCAGCTTCCCTACCCATTTTAACTACTCCCACAGGCTACTTAAATCTTAAACCATGGGAGAAGAATTTAACAGTTTTTATTGTTATTTTTAAAGCAGCGCTTGTCCCCACTCACTCTCCTGCATTCCTGGTTTTCCTGTGTGTGAGCTCAACAGTTGTGACAGAGCTTGTGCTTTTCAGTGGGCTGGTTGAGGGAGGTGAGATCCCCCTGCGAGGCCGGAGGGGTGCAGGCCCTGCTCCAGCGGGGAATGCTGAGCGGGAGTGCGGAGCTGCCAGCTCGCTGCTCCCACTGGGCACGGCTGCCCTGGAGCTGGAGCTCAGCAAACATAGCTGGCTGTGGGCAGCAGTATCCTAGGAGCAGGAACCTGAGCTGAAATCCTGAAACCTCTGTGGAACACTTGAGCATGGCTGCCTCCTCTGCAGCAAAGGTTTCACAGAATCAGCAGGTCACAGCAAAAATCCACCACGTTCCGCTCGCTCTCTCCCAAACAGGGAATTTAACGTGTTTCCTGTAAGTTAAGGCACAGTTTTTAACTAGGAAAGGGCTTTGCTCAGCAGGAAAATCTGCCTATATTAGAAAAAGCAGTCAGCATGGGGATTTGTCTCCTTAAAATATTCATCACAATCCCTGCAGCTCAAGCTGGTCCCTAAAATGTTGCTGTGTGTGTGTGTGCTGTGTGAATGTGCTCTGGCACGCTTGAAGGGAGTTTTTCATCAGCTAAACTGTCCAGCTCCCAGTGCTGTGGTTTTAATTCTCTACTGAATATCTGCCTACTAATTAGGTTGCTGTGATACTCAGACTGTTAAAAGAGAGGAGGAATCATTCCTGATAGAAATTAAACAGATAATGCACTAGCAACAAAAAAGAGCCTAAAAGGAGATGTTTTCTGTGTGGAAGATGAAGCACTGAACGACTTACACCGGGAACTCAGCTGGATGCACTAAAAATTCCCAGGCAGTAGCTCAGGCATGTATGTTTCAATAACTAATAGCCTGCACATTTCCTGTTAATACTGTACTACAACCACAGTTTGCTTTGCTTTGGATAGTAATAATAAATATATACCATATATTTTACCTTAATTGTAATTTGTATAATTCTGTCAATTTGCAGGTCCTTTGGGGGCCTTTTAATATATATCTGTGCCTATATATAGCTATAGAGAGAGACATATAAATACTCTCACAGGCATGTAAAAAAATCCTTATCCTTCCTTAATTCATTACATTTGAGGGCTCCTGGCTATATGGAATATTTCTGTTCAGGACCATACAAGGGTGAGTGGAGGACCAGCCTCCTCTCCACCCTGCCCAAGACACGGAGCACCATGGAGAGAAGCAGGTTGCTGAGAACAAAAGGAACATTTTGCTCACACAGCATGCCCTGGCCTGTGCCACTCATAGCCACAGGAGCCACAGAGTCAAACAAAATACCTAGTTTTTTAAAAAGGGACTGAATAATTTAATGGCCAAAACCAACATTTCCATGCTAAGCGAGGGGTAATCAAATCTTGTGGTTCAGGACGTAAAGTGATCGCCCAAGGAGGCCCAACTTTGGATGACTGACCAGGTATTGTGGGTTTTTTCAAATTCCCTTTGAAGCCTCACATGTAGGATGGTGCTGAAGACACAACACCCATCCTGAGGGACCTGTGATTTCAGGCGGGCTTGCACAGCTCATGTGTCCCTCTCTGAGGATGCATCAGCAGGCACTCGAGTAAAAGGACTAATCAGAAAAATCCTGTTTATGTGATACCTTCATCCACACAATTCAGAAAACTATGGGAAGAACTGACCCTGACTCCTTAACACACCCAGTCTGTGGTCCTGGGCACGTTCCTGCACCGTGCTCTGCACTGCCTGAAAATAACCAGCTCCACAGCCCTTCCAGTGGGAGCTCCTGCAGTCAGGTGGGATTCTACCCACAAGGGGTCATTAAAACAAGTGTCAGACACAGACAATGAGGCAGTTCCTCAGCTCTGCTGCAAAGCATTTACCACATCAATGAGGACACTCAGAAATCTTGGTCTAAACAGGAGGATTTTTTAAAAAAAAGAAAATTAAAAGTCATAATAGAGAAGATACTCATCTGGCCTCCTCTCACTTTATAAGTGCATAACTTTAGGAATGTCAAACAGAAATCCCAATAAGACTTCTATATAAATTTTCTTAGGATCATGTTTTAACAATTTATTTTGGATGGTGCAAGTTTATATTAAAGTTGCAAGTAAGGCCTAGGTGAGGGAACTACTAAGGTATATCATGAGCTAGCAGTGATCGATAGAAAAGACACCTAAAGGCTACAAGTATCATTACTTTGCTTTAGAATTATTTATCCTCTCTCCACTCTCAGCCTCCCCAAGCAGGCACTGGTGTTAAGGATTTGTGTATTTTCACAATGCACACCAAATGTGTCCTGTTCCAGTATCAGAACCAAAAATGAAATACATATAGATATTGACTGTTCTTCCTATCACAGTGTCTGGATGTATGTTTTCTATATTCACCCACAGTGCTTAGTCTGAGTAAGAAACAGATTTACACTTTGCTTTAGCCAGTCCTTGTTCAATACCAGTTCCAGGACAAATTAACACAGAGTAAGAAACTGCAAAGCTATTTTAAGGTAAGAGAATCTGACCAGACCTTGACTGCCAAAAGCTACACGCAGTATATACCTGGTAAATAGTGAGTGGAATTGAAAATTTAAAAATAATGAAAATAAATTCAAACTAGAATTTTGGAATCATAAATAGGAACAAATTGTAACTGCAAATGGAAATATCTAAGGGATGTTTCCAATATGAAAACTGTCTGGGTTTGTTTTTTTTTTACTGACGTGATGGCTTGACTGGCAGATTCCTCAGTTAAACAAAGAACCTCAACCCATATCCCATTGAGTTCAGTGGAAACTGGACCAAATCCAGGCTGAAAAACATCTGTCCTTTATCTCACCATTTTTTG